AATAGTAGTAGTAACAGTAGTAAAAGAATTCGTAACCGTAACCGTAATAGGAATAGTTTTGGTGGTAGTAGTCGTAGTAGTAGTAGTAGTAGTAATAGTAGTAATAATAGCAATGGTAATAGTGATAATGGTGGTCGAAGTTGTGCTCATTAGTAGACATAACCTTGGTCGTAGTAATAGAAATACAGGTAGCAGTAGTGGTAGTAGTAGCAATAGTAGAAGTAGTAGTCGTAATACTAGTAGTAGTAGTAATAGTAGTAGTAGTAGTAGTCGTAGTAGTAGTAGTAGTAGTAGTAGTAGTAGTCGTAGTAGTAGTAGTAGTAATAGTAGTAGTAGTAATAGTAGTAGTAATAGTGGTAGTAGTAGTAGCAGCAGCAGTAGTAGTAGTAGTAGCAGTAGTAGTAGTAGTAGTAGTAGTAGTAGTACTAATCGTAATAACACTAGTGAAGATAACTTCAATAATAATATTAATGGTGATCGTAATCGTGGTAGTCGTGAGTCGACACGAATGGTACTAGTAGCAATACTACTGCTAGTAGAAGTGTTGTGGTAGAAGAAAACCGTAGTAGCAGGAGTAGTCGTAGCAGTGGTAGGCGTAGTTGTCATAGCGGTGGTCGAGATACTACAACCAATTCTACTAGTAGTAGAAATCGTAGTAGCAATCGTAGTAGTCGTAATAGTCGTCGTAGTAGTAGTAGTAGTAGTAGAAGAAGAATAAGTAGAAGTAGAAGTAGAAGTAGAAGTATAAGTAGAAGTAGAAGTAGAAGTATAAGTAGTAGTAGTAGTAGTAGTAGTAGTAGTAGTAGTCGTCGTAGTAATCGTAGTAGTAGAAGCAATCGTAATTGTACTAGCGCTGGTGGTAGCAGTAGTGCTGGTAGTCGTAGTCGAAACCAATTGCCCTAGCCAGCCTAACCAGCCAGCCCAACCAACCAACCATCCAAACAACTCAACAGGCTCAACCAGCCCAACCAGCCACCCCGCAACCCCAGCCAACCCGCCACCCCGCCACCCCGCCCACCCCCGCCGCCTGCCCTCCGTCACCGTCGAGGGGGGGGCGGGAAGTGTTTCTTGCAAGCGAAAACCACAAAAATCACCCTCCCGGGGTCTGGCGGGACAGCAGGGGGAGGGGAAATCGCACCGTACTATGGGGGAGGGGGATTCGCGCCCGAGGTGCCCAAGGATGATTTGGGGCCTCAAGTGTGACACTGTCGTCACTTTATTACCTTTCACCGCGCTGCCCTTCTCAACGGAAAGGCTCCCATCCGTGAAACTGTCGTCATTTTTCAGCGCCCGCGAGAGGCTTCTTGGAGGCCCCCAGAGTTTCCAGGAGGGCCCATGGCGGCCTCGGGAGTGCCTAGGAGATCTCCAGGGGGCCCCAGGAGGACCCACTCTGCACCGCGCCCCCTTCTCAACGGAAAGGCCCCCATGCGTGAAATTGTTTTCATCATTTCGCCCCCGCGAGAGAATTCGTAGAGGGCCCACGGAGGCTCCAGGAAGGCCCATGGCGGCCCCGGGAGAGCCCACGAGATCTCAAGAGCCCCCCCGGAGGGCCCACTTTGAATTACACTCGGGGGGCTCCAGAGGGCCCAGGAGGCTCCAAGAGGCCCCAAGAGGCCCCGAAGAGCCCAAACAGGCCACAGGACCCCCAGCACGCTCTAGGAAAGCCAAGGCGACACCAAGAGGCTCCAGGACGGGCGTCATTCCCTCTCCTCCTCTTGCTCGTTGTCGTCATCCTTCTCCTCATCTCCTCATCAGTCCTGCTTCAAATCCTTCCTCCCCCTCTTCCTCCTCCTTCTCCTCCTCTTTCTCCTCCTCCTCCTCCTCCTCCTTTTCCTCCTCCTCCGCTTCCCCCCCCCTACCTCATCCGTAGCCTCGATGGCTCCGATAGCGCCGTGCGCGAGATTCGCCTCGCGCCTCCTCCCCATCCTCCCTCCTTCCCTCCCCCTTCTCCATCCCCACCCTCCCGCCTCCCTCCTCCATTTTTGTATGATATTATACATTATGTATATATATATCTATATAATATCTATATATATATATATATATAAAACTATAAAATAAATATAATATAACTGAAGGGCGCGAAAGCGCAAGGGATGAGGCGTCACCCCGCTCGAGACTGTGCAATCGAGCGGGGGCGACGGGCAGCCAGTGTGCTGCCGACGCAGACGGTGCTGGAGCCAGCACCGAGAAAATGAGCCACGGTCGGAGCGGACCTGCGTCCACCCCCGTGCTCGGTACCCTGAGATCCCTCCAACCCGACGGTACCCCAAGGCTCGGGTACTAAGGCTGGCAGCGTAACCAGCACCGCCGAGAGGAGGGAGAGAAGAGGTGTGCGGCGCTCCTTCCCCCTGGGGCGGGGTGCCTGACACTCGTGCGGGGAACCACGCGCACGCGCGCACACACACCATGCACACCAAGAGAAAAGGCTGTACCCCAAGGCTCGGGTACTAGGGCAGGCTGCGTAACCTGCACCGCCATGCACGAGGAAACACAAGGTGGCAATGTAGCCACCAGAGAAACATATCGACCACCCATGCAAGGACGACGAGACCCGCCGCCCCAGGTGCAACGAGCGCCAGTACGACGGCAAGCCTCGCCCCAGATGCGGGGTATGCACACTGAAATCTGCCCTGGGGTTCGTTCCATCGGGCTTTATACATTAAACGAAAGGGCGACGCCAGGACGACAGCCAGGAAACCCCAGGTGTGCCTAACCCTGAGGGCGGACGCCTGGACGGCCCCTGGGCTGCCCCAGAAGTGGGCCCGTCTCGCACCCTGAGCCAGTGCCCCCAAAGCGGGCCCTCCAGATACGGCCAAAGACCAACTGGGCAGAGCGATCTAGGACCCGCCGCCTTCCGCTCCAACGAAAGGGGCACAGACTAGCAGGGCGACGACACAAAAAGGGAAGGCGGCGGTCGGGGCACCATTCCCCCCGCGCCAACCCAACCATGACACTGTTGTGAAGCAGGAAACATGAGCCCCGCGGGGGGGGGGGAACGAAAAGCTGGCCAGCCTAAAGAGATCGTTTAGTAGAGAAAACCGTTCTGCACTGCTTTGCCCTCTGCCGTGGAAGTTGGCCCGGGAGGAGGGCCGCCAGATTCTTGCGCTCGCGGCGCGTGATCGGTCGACGAGGCTTGCCCAAGCCATCGGAACGGACCCGAAATCGGCCATGCAATCCACACGCAGAGCAAAACACCGTGCCCTGGACCCCCGTCTGGAATCGGTGAGTCTGGTGAATGACCCGCCCCCCCCCCAAACAAAAAAAAATAGCCTGGCGAAGGGCCCAACCATATGCAGTTGAGAGTACCGCAATTGTGAATATCTTCTTCGGTGGCGCTCCCTATGGGGCCACGAGCCGTATGAGGGGTGTGCCGAAATGCGTGGCAGTGTACACAACACGAACGAAGACGATAGGTCCGAATATGAAGGCTTGAGCGCGTGCGAGTCGGATCGCGAGCGAGTCTGATTATGAATGAATCTGCGCGCGATTGATTCTATTCGCATAAATGCGTGCATGGATACGCCCAGTGTAAATGTATGTATACGACTGTGAACAGTTTGGGTCTGCGTGACTCTCGGTACTCGTGACTCTGAGCGTCGCCTCTGCAGGGTGCTTCCCTGGGAACCCCGACGGCAGCGCCCGCGCGCCGCGACGTCCATGTCGGCACGCCACACACCTGGTGCGCGGGACGCATGCGGACGGCAGCATTGGGGCCTTCGGTGGAGCTCCCTATGGGGCCACGAAACGGGTGAGGGGTGTGCCGAAATGGGGTGCGGACGCATCTGAAAGCCATCCGGCCTCCCTGGGAAATAAAACAAAACCAAGAAAAAAAAAGACCAAAGAGGCCGGTGGAGCTCCCTATGGGCCCACGAAGCGTGTGAGGGGTGTGCCGAAATGAAGTGTGCGGGACGCAATGGGTCGGCAGCACTGGGCCTTCGGTGGGCTCCTTGGGGGCCACGAAACGGTGGGGTGTGTGGGGAAATTGTGTGCGGGACGCATGCGGACGGCAGCCATGGGGCCTTCGGTGGAGCTCCCTATGGGGCCACGAAACGTGTGAGGGGTGTGCCGAAATGGGTGTGCGGGGCGCATGCGGACGGCAGCACTGGGGCCTTCGGTGGAGCTCCCTATGGGGCCACGAAACGTGTGAGGGCTGTGCCGAAATGGGTGCGGCGCCGCCATGCGGACGCGGCCACTGGGGCCTTCGGGGGAGCTCCCTATGGGGCCACGAAACGTGTGAGGGGTGTGCCGAAATGGGTGGTGGGGAGGCATGCGAACGCAGCCACTGGGGCCTTCGGTGGAGCTCCCTATGGGGCCACGAAACGTGTGAGGGGTGTGCCGAAATGGGTGTGCGGGACGCATGCGGGCACACCCACTGGGACCTTCGGTGGAGCTCCCTATGGGGCCACGAAACCTGTGAGGGGTGTGCCGACATGGGTGTGCGGGACGCATGCGGGCACACCCACTGGGACCTTCGGTGGAGCTCCTTATGGGGCCACGAAGCGTGTGAGGGGTGTGCCGAAATGGGTGTGCGGGACGCATGCGGGCACACCCACTGGGACCTTCGGTGGAGCTCCCTATGGGGCCACGAAACGTGTGAAGGGTGTGCCGAAATGAGTGTGCGGGACGCATGCGGGCACACCCACTGGGACCTTCGGTGGAGCTCCCTATGGGGCCACGAAACGTGTGA